ACCCGAGCAATTTTTGCCACGAAAAATGAAGAAAAAAAATATTATTTTATTAATTAAAATAAATAATTAAAATGAACCAATCATATTATGACACGTGTCAAGATTTAATCTTAATGACTAACGGAGTTAATGGCCATTGGTCATTAATGGCATTTGGTGAATTTTTTAAAAGCTCGATGACATTTGGTGAATTTTGAAAACCTTGATGGCATTTGGTGAATTTTTTTAAGTACTCAGTGGCATATGGTGAAACAACCGTATTTTTAAACAACACTAACAATTCACTTTGTGTTATTTTCTTTCGCGTATAATATATATCGTGCATTAGCACGAATATACAATCCCTCTATCAAAAATTCACCGTAGCACTCTAAATCCCCAACTAACCCTTCAATTATATGCATATTTTTAAAGGATTATCCTACAAACAATTTTTACTTCTCTAATCATAAAATTAAAAAAAAAAAAAAAAAATTAGAGCACGCTATTTGCGCGACTGGCCTCACCGAATAGTTACTTGCAAAAGATCAAAAGTAGATCTATGACACTAACATCAATAAGGATAATAACTACCCATCCTTTTTTTTTTTGTTTCCTAATTTTTTTTTTGGGCCTGCAATAATTAATAAAAATTCACTTATTTTTAAACAATACTAACAGTTCACTTTCTGTTATTTTCTTTCGCGTATAATATATATCGTGCATTAGCACAAATATACAATTCCTCTATCAACAATTCACCGTAGCACTCTAAATCCCCCAACTAACCCTTCAATTATATGCATATTTTTAAAGGATTATCCTACAAACAATTTTCACTTCTCTAATCATAAAAAAAATAAAAATTGGAGCACGCTATTTTTGCGACTGGCCTCACCGAAAAGCTACTTGCAAAAGATCAACTTTGACGATGTTTTTGTCAACTTTGAATATATACTAACTAACATCTCAGTATTTAAATCTTTTAGTGCTTATACACTTGTGAAACCACATCAAACACTCAAAGTCTCAAATGGTCTAAATTTACTGCTCTATAATTCTTTTTCTTTCATCATCATCCTTTAGCAATGGATTATGAATTCTAAAAAATAACTCAAGTTCGACAATAATGGATTATGAATTTTAAAAAAAACTCAAGTGGACTATATTAAATGTTCAGTAAACTATTAACTTTTCAATAAATTATTTTTTAGTAGGAATATTTTTTATAGTTGACATGTAGTGAAAATGAATTTATGTACGGAGTACTTAATTTTCTATACAATTAATTTCTCTTTTATTTTATATAATAAAAAAATTCCAAAAAATGACATAATACTAAATTTCTTTTACTTTAATACTTAAAATAAATTATTGCTGAATGTACAAAATGAAATATGTTATACAGAGTATTTGTTAAAAAAAAGAAACAATAGATATTCGAATTTAACATATGCAATAACATATTACGGAGTAATAATGTAGAAATTGGCTTCATTTTTTTAACTAAAACAAAACATATACCTTTTTTTTAATAACAAAACGAAATATATACTTTGTATTATGATCTGTAAATTTCTTTCATATGAGAAATATTTGAGTATTTCACAATAGTATCTAACTAGTTTTTTTGCCCGAGCAAACGCTCGAATATTCAAAAGAATTTTTTTTTTATATATATATAAATTATGCGTAGTATCTATTTATATCATCAAATTCATATAGATTAAATACATTAATGTAAAGAACTTATCTCTAATTTTAGTTTGCTGACATGTTATGAATTTGAAATTGAGTGAATTTTTTTTTTAAGTAAAAAACAAACAATACATAGATTAAAGTGAATATATAATGCATTTTTACAGATTAACGATTAAATTTATTTATTTATTTATTTAAGTTGTTATTGTTGTTACATTTTTTAGGTTGTTTATTAGGTTGTATATTCTCTTTTTATTTATTTATTAGCTATCTTATTATTCTGAAAAAAAAAGGATATTAGGCGGGAAAATTTTTAATGTGAGTGTGACACGTGTAATTTGGGGATAATGCTGGTGATTACTTTAATATATAGTATTGATGATTCGTCTGTAACATTAACACTTTATTTTTTTTAAGGAATCAATAACGTTATTACTTAGTATAGGACAATGTTGATTCATTGCCTAATTAGTTAATACATGACCTCTCTTTTTTATAATTTTATTTTATTTTATTTATTTATTTTTTTCCGGTGAAAATAGATGATAGATTATCTATGAGAGATACATATACGGATATACGCAGTACAAAACAAGTGTTTTTTTTTTTTTTTAGCGTGTGAAGTTGTACGCTTACAAGTTTACAAGTTTACAAGGTCCATCCTAAAATTGTCAACTACTTGTTCTCAATAACTTATTTGGGTTGATGAGCTACTTACTTGTTAAGAAGTAAGAGCTACGTACGTTACGTAGGTCGTCGTAGAGTATGCAATACGTAATACGTTGGACATGAATACATTATCATAATTAAATTAATTTAATTCATTCATTAATATGAGGGACCTATTACTCTATTAGGCTAGCTAGCAAGTAGCAAGACTAATTTAAATTAAATAATTAATAAGCCATCCCTTTAATTGTACTTGTACAACTTTATTATTACTGTTATATTGTCATCCATGGTGTCTATAGATAACATATTTTTTAATTAACAATGACAAAACTAATCACCCAGACACTAAGTATCAATGAAAAAAAAAATTTGCAATATGAGGAAGTACAAATCAAACACCAACTTTTGCCGACCTTTTTAGATTTTTAGTATTACAATTTCTTTTGTAGAATATAATTAGGAGAAGTATTGGGTGATCACGTCTCTTCAAGATAGTACAAGAAAATTAAAGTATATAGTGGGACATATATTATTACGATAGTATACAACCTCACTCATTTATGGAAGATATTTTGTATTTTTTCTATTTTTAATTAGTTGTATACATGTATTAATGTATTATATAATCATGCCCAAAACCCACATGTTTCACATCTCCCAAAAACCCTTATCCAAATAATGTGTGAAATGCATGAGATAGGACAATTGTTCACAAATCGCAATAACGAAACCATTACCTCTTGCATTACAACATTCTACGTAGACGACGCATAATATAATTTAGGTATATTATAAGTATTTAGAGAGCCACATATTACAAAGATGTAGATGAGGACAATGTGGTCATATTGTTTGGTACACACATCTTAAACTTTAATAATAAATTAAGATGAAATTCGGAAAAAAAAAAAAATACTTTACCCCCCTTCCGTTCTTCAAAGAATGCCTCAATATATATATAAGGCTTACAAACTTTGACAATAGTTCTCACTAATATTTTGTTCAAAATTATTTGCAATATGAGTGTGGGTGAATACAGAGATTAAGGGTCTATTCACGTTTATTGAACTAAACTAAACTGAACTAATTGGAGCTGAACTGAACTGAGATGAAATGAATATTTTATGAGAAAAGGAAATTAAGAGCTAAACTGAACTAATTGGAGCTGAGCTGAATTGAACTAATTGAAGCTGAAATAAACTGAACTGAAATTAAGCCGAAGTAAAATGGCTTTAAGAAAAAGATAATTAATTTGGGATAAAAAGTGGGTTTTGGTCCCCTATAGATATGATAAAGAATTAAAAAAAACCAGTGTACTATTGTGCAATGAAAAGGAATTTAGCGGGTGTTGGTTCCACATAGGGTAGTCTTGGACTCTTGGTATTTTACTAGGAAAAGTTACTGAAATTAATTAACTTTTCAAATAAATCTATTTTAGATACAAATTGCAACTTATTCTGGAAAAAGTTTATTAGAATATTTCTTATGTTTGATTTTAAAATATTAGTAACAACTTTTTTGCAATTTATATGCATTCGAAATTGAGAACTTAAGCCCGGTTCTTTTCACCTTATTTTCACTTATTTCAAGTAAAATAAATACAAATAATTTCATACTCCATATAAGATAAGTTCAATTTATAACTAAACTAAGTTCTAATTAGGGATAATAAGTTCACATAAGATCAAATTAGTTTTAATAAGATAAGAAAATTTCAGATAAATTAAATTCAAGTGAATATAATGCACTCTTATTACATATACTTTTAAAATATGTCGTAAAGTACTTAAAACTAATTTGTGGGAAGGGTCAATTTTGTTCACTTTATAATTTAGGTCTAATTAGTTCAGATAATTTCTGTTAAGTTAAGATAAGTTCAGTTTAGGAAAAATAAATTCAGATAAGTTCAATTAGGAAAAATAAGGGCTTTTTCTGATTTACTGAACTGAACTGAACTGAATTAATTAGAGTTGAATTGAACTAAACTGAACTATACTGAATAGAACTGAAATGAATATTTTATGAGAGAAGGAAATTAGGAACTGAATTGATTGGAGCTGAACTAAACTAAACTGAAATTAATAAGGGTTACCCAAGTTCAAATTACATCTAAAATAAATTTAGATAAATTTTAATCAGTTTAGTTAAGTTTAGATAAATGAAAATTAGGTGAATAGAATGCACCTTAAATTACATGAGATAATATTGTAGTCTTTAAAGGGGAAATTTCTCTACCTCTCATGCTCTAATAGCTTGAGTTTTCAATGAATCTAATATGTTAGTTGATATACACAAGTTTTGTTACTCCAATAGACCGTCTTTGTTGATATTAGAATGATACGAAATACTCCGTACCATCTAAATATCGTGTACGACTAAGGGCATGTTTTGATTTGCTGAAATGAGTTGGGCTGAATTGAATTGAACTGATTGGAGCTAAATTGAACAGTATATAAGAAAATGAAATTAGAAACGAAACTGAAATAAACTGAATTGAAGTGAATTGAACTTAAATGAAATTAAGTTGAAGAGAACACACCCTTAATATCAACCGACCTTATTAAAGTTATAAAAGAGTCAAACTATTAACATAGTACATATACGTTGTATATCCATACTATTTACGGTCTCAAATCTCAATATTATCAGACACAAGACACAATGTTTTCCCTAGGCTAATGTGGAGATATACAGATATAATATAGGCCATGTGAGTCGTGAAGTTGTGTGACTTGTGTTCAAATAAAAAGGAAACCTTTTTATTCAACTGCTACACTTTTACGCTCAACAATTTAATGCTAGATTTCATTTTTCATCCATTTAAGCTGAAACCAGGAGGAAAGAGAAATTGATACAGTCAATTAGAATATAAAATATTCTTAAAAGGAAATTTGGGGGGTCTTTCAGTAATCGAAGATTTGAAGGCTTAAGTTTGGAGCTTTCAGTATCACATCATCTGATAAAGATTTAACAAATAAAGGGTTTATATTTATTTGACCCACCTTTAAATATTTTTTTTTTGTCCTGTTTTTCACAGAAGATAAGCATTTTGCTGGACATCTGCTTTGTTTTTTCAATCTGGGTATTTCTTCTATCTCTTAATTTTTGCATAATACTGTTTATAATTTCTGGGTTTTTAACAATTTATTGGAAGGTTGACTATATATGTTGTCATATTTGAGTTCATTGGTTTCATCATCATTGTTATTACTTTATAACTATGAATAAAGCAAAAGATTTATCTAGGATTTTGTTGTCTTTTTGTTTTTTGTTTGCTGTAACTTTTTGTATTCTTTAGGTTCTTTTGGAATTACAGTAACAATGTTTTAGATAAAGGATGGAAGTGGTGCAATTGTAACAATAGTGACAATCTTTTTGTATTTATGTTTAAGAATTTTTTTGCACAGTGTGTAAGGAATATTCATCCTTCTTATGTGGTGTTTTTGCTGATATGGTTGATTGATCTCTTCAAATGCATCATCAGATTCATGGGGATGTGTCAGTAATAAGTCTGTGTAAGCTAATAAAGTCTTCGGGTAGTATCGAAAACTTGAGATCAAATTCCATGTACATCTATGCCTTTGCGGTGTCTTATATACCATAATTTGAAATGATTTTGAATTTGCACCGACTATTGTGATAGAAAGTGAGCCTAGAAACTATAATTGCTTGTTGATGTTTGAATTTTGTGAAATAACAGGAGTTGGTGGAACTACCATTTTCCACTTTCTGTGGATGGACCCTAGCTTTAAGCTTGAAGTCTTTTGGTAGATTATTTTGTTTCCTAATATTTGGGTTTTTATTTTTCTTGATTGTGTTTTTTTCGGTCCTGCAGTTGTTAATTAGACTTGGGGCTGTTAATGGTACTTTGAGGGCAATATACTCTACCTGAAATCTTTGAGTCTTATGCATGTCTGACCCCGTGGCAGCTGTCGAAAACGGGGGAGGAGTTGCATTGTGTCCAGCGAGAACTCAATCTCTTAATGTCTTTGCTTCGAATTTAAAAGACGGCATTGGTGCTGTATCGAATGGGGAAATCTCTCGTACATCTTCCACGGCTTCTGGATTTCGAGTGGGAGATATTGAACTACCGAATGGAGAATCTTATTCAGGGTCATTGCTTGGAAATGTGCCTGAGGGGTCAGGGAAGTATTCGTGGTCTGATGGTTGTGTTTATGACGGTGAGTGGAGAAGGGGGATGAGACACGGGTGGGGCAGGCTTAGCTTTCCTTCTGGAGCAGTTTATGAGGGTGAGTTTTCAGGTGGTTATATGAGTGGCCAAGGTACATATTCGTGGCCAGGGCGTATGACATATAAGGGTCGATGGAGACTTAATGTTAAACATGGATTGGGATATCAAGTTTATGCCAATGGTGATATCTTTGAGGGCTCCTGGATGCAGGGATCTCCAGAGGGGCCTGGGAAATATACATGGGTTAATGGGAATGTTTACTTAGGAGATATGAAAGGAGGACTGATGTCTGGAAAAGGATGCCTTACTTGGATTAACGGAGATATGTTTGAAGGTAGTTGGCTGAATGGAATGATGCACGGGTTTGGAGTTTATACATGGAGCGATGGTGGTTGTTATGTGGGAACTTGGACTCGAGGTTTGAAAGATGGGAAGGGTGCATTCTATCCGAATGGTAGCAAACTTCCAGCTGCCCAAGAGCTCTACTTAGGTGCTTTAAGGAAACGAGGAGTATTACCAGATCTGAAGAAGCAGAACCAGGTGTCTCATCTTCGTCAAGCATCCACAGTGAACATGGGAAATGTAAAGGTTGGCAGAAGCCGTGAAGCTCGTCGTCATCCCTCTGATAAGCTTTCAAAAGGTAATTTGCTAAATCTTGAGCAATCCCGTGAAAAGAACATATCTCTTGAGAGACGTTGGAGCCTTGAAGTTGCAATTGAGAAGGTTATTGGACATGATACATCATCTGGTTTCGCTGAATCACTTACTGAAGGAAGAGATAAAGAAGCTGAGACAAATATTCCTATTGTTGAACGGGAGTATATGCAAGGTGTTTTGATCAGTGAGATGGTTGTTAATAATTCATTTTCTCCAAGGTCTAAAAGAGCAAAAAGGAGGCAGAGGAAACTAGCAAAAGACATAAAGAGACCAGGTGAAGCTATTATTAAAGGTCACCGAAGTTATGATTTGATGCTCAGTTTGCAGCTTGGGATAAGGTAAATTCACCTTCTTTACTCTGATTTAACACAGTTCTCCAGGTATTCATTTTTGTTATTGGTTTTCATGCCATCAAGCAATTTATTTATTAACATGGAGTCTTCACACTTTCTTCAGAATTGTAGAGCATGATGCAATTGTTCAATTAATAGGATCTATTAATCATTTGAGATTTCATAGCTTTGTTATGGCCTAATGGTAGACCAAAGTTTGTACTGAAATTGGAAGTCTGAGACTCAGAGTTATGGGCTGCTGTTTTCCACAGTCTAATTTGATTTAGCTGATTAAAGTAATATTCTTCTTAGAGCCTTGGATCTTTCTCAATTTTTTGTATTCCTTGTTCCATTTTGGTGTTGGACAATTTTCTTGTTTATCTTGTAACCAATGTTTTTTTTTTGCCATTGTTGGAAAGAGTTAAAAAAAGCATGCTTGTTTTGTCAGAAATGTTTTCATACATATGATGGTGTTTTCCTCAGTATGCTATACTGAACTTGCATTAGATTTTGTTCAGATATACTGTGGGAAAGATCACTCCCATACAAAGACGAGAAGTCCGAGCATCTGACTTTGGTCCACGTGCAAGCTTTTGGATGAATTTTCCTAAAGAAGGGTCGCAATTGACACCCCCTCATCAATCAGATGATTTCAGATGGAAAGATTATTGTCCAATGGTTTTCAGGTTTGTCGTGGACTCTAAATTTCTGAGACATAGTTGCATATACATTCTACTCCATAAATCCTTTATCCTGAAGTCTATATAGAGTCTGATCAGACCCCAGAATTGAGTAGATCTTTATTGTTGTCTTCAAGAATAATGCTCTATTTTCTGTCAGCAATGAACATTCAAATTTAGTTTAGTGAATCTCACATATGATGATTAATGGTCATGTTCTCATGCAATGAGCTCACTCTGAAAAGCATGGTCCTTAGTAGTAACTGTTGAATGATTTAATCGAGGAACTGAATCGTGGATGTTTGTTATGTAGCATCCATGAAGATAATGCTGTTGCTTCTACTTTACTCTTATGCTAATGCATTTCTGAGATATCATTTCTGTTGTTAATATGATAATTTTTTGGATTGGACTCCAAATATTACACATGTTGCAGACAAATTTGATTATCAAATTATCTTATCTTTGAGAAGGTTTTCTTTCTTTCTTCCCCCCTCCTCTTCAATTTTTCTGTGGGGTATTATCATGTTTTTGTCATACTTGCCATGATAACTTAGGAGTGGGCGTCTTTTCATGGGACCAGAATTTGTAAAGGTTTTCATGGTTGGAAGACGGGGTTCCTAAAAGTGCTTAGTATCAGGCCTTTTTCTTTCTACTGACTTTTAGGACTTTTTGAAGAACCTTGTTAGTATCGTATTCTTCCACTTACTCAATAAGAGGGTAATTTTTTTTTTACTGTAGTAAAGGTTCTTTTAGCAAGGAAGGTAAGAGAGTTAAACACTCATCTCCGATGGGGAAGGTGACAGGAGAGCTTGATCTGATCTCTGTTTGGATATGAGTCACTACAGAATGTGAAATTTTAACGAATTCTTTCTGCAAAAGAATTTGTAAAATTTTATAGCAGCTTGTAAAAGCATGAGCAGTACTTTTTCAGATGTTTAAAAGTTTGCCTTTCCTCTATCAGATTATCTAAAAGAGTGCTTTCTCGAAGCACAACTAAAGGTTGAAGTTTAATTACTTGTCCATTACATAATGGGAAACTTATCTCTTTCTCCCTCTTCATTCAATTTATGGACATACATCATACTCCGTAGATCATCAGTTTTTACTCTTGAAATGCTAACTTGCTTATTTTTATAGAAACCTGAGGGAGATGTTCAAAATAGATGCTGCTGACTACATGATGTCCATCTGTGGAAATGATGCCCTGAGGGAATTATCATCGCCTGGGAAAAGTGGCAGTGTCTTTTTCCTCTCTCAAGATGATCGCTTCATGATTAAGACACTGCGGAAGTCTGAAGTAAAGGTTGGGGCTTAGCTTATATTTTATATTCTGTCAGAAATTTCAGTTTTCTTTCTATTTCAAATTTTCACTTCACCTTTTGCATGTTTAACTTCACTTGTCTCTTAAGTAGATATCATGTCTTGTTCTAATAATACGGAGTGTTCTGTTGTTAGAACCATGTGGCCTTAGTAGTTGACTAGTTGGTGTGAAGTTTCTACTAGTGTTAGTTTTCATCTGCTTTATTTAGCTTTCATGTTCTTTTTCAGACAATTATGACAAAAGGCCATATGCGTAAAAATAACTAGTGTAGAATCTAGACATTATTTCGTCCTTCACAACTACCATGTATCATTCATATGTTTGGTTCATAAAATTCTTGGTTGGTCCAAATGTAATCTCCTGCCCTGTTAACAACTTTGTACAGTACACAGGCTGTGTTTAGTCTGGAGCAATAAAAACAGCAATTCTTAATGGATTCTGCCATCAGCAGTCTAGGAGACCAAGGTTATGTAGACCCGTGAATTTGTGATAGTGTAAACATGTGTGGAGCTTGTTTCAGAAAGATATACGAATAACATCAAAAGTGATAGAGTGACTAACCAAACTATAAAATTGAATTATACAAGTCATTTTTGTTATAAGGAATGTAGTAGTATGTGATGTCAATTTCACTCAGTCGCATACTGCGTCTTATCAATAGTGGTTATCAACCAAATAAACGGTGTAGATACAAGTCATTTTTGTTATAAGGAATGTAGTAGTATGTGATGCCAATTTCACTCAGTCGCATACTGCATCTTATCAATAGTGGTTATCAACCAAATAAACGGTGTAGAACTATAATAACATCAACTAAAGAAAATAGAGGTTACTACATTTTATACACTTTTACTATAATAATAGCTTAATAAGCATCTAGAGAATGGATGCCTTTCTAACATTTGCTTCTATCTTGTTTCACTGAAACTTCTACATCTGTTAGAAGATGCCATAAGTCTTTTCCCATCCAATTTTCTCTCTCTTTTTTGTCTTCGTTTTATTCTCGTTCCGAATTCCAACATTGTAGGTGCTGCTTCTAGATCTTGTATGTCAAATCAAAACTCAACAATTCTCATTACTAACTATTGATGCCCTCCTTTCAGCTTTAACATATTAAATTTCTATACATATTGATGTTAGCAGCATGGGAATACTTTTTATTTTGTTTGTTTGCCAGTTATTCCCTTCATATATTCACTGAAACTCGAGATTATATCAATCATCTTTTGAAGATGAATACATGATGTTCTAAATTTGAAAGTCTACTAGAAGATTCCGTAAGGTTTCACTGGGATTGTTTAGACCATCTTTGGCCAGAAAGGTTCATAGTGTACTGATTGTATTCAAAGCCTGCTGGAGTATGTAAGTTTTGGTTTGAGTAACAAATAAGCTTGTAGGCATGTGAGCCAAGTGAGGCAATGTATTGATTGTATTCCTTTTGTTTGGTTAGATGTTTAATAATCTATTTTGAAAGGAGGTATACCTGCGTATCTGTGAAACTAGGCTTAAGTTTGAAAATTGATCAATCATCAATAGTAGACATAAGTGGCACTGCTGTTGATGTTTTGCTTGCTTGGTTGCTCTAATAAGCTTGTCTTTATGTGAATTTCACTATGCTGCTTACTACTGCTTAACTAGATTGAAGGCTATAAATGTCAATCTGCTATTTTTCTGTTGCAAAAATTGTGTGGAATTTATGATCAACTTCTGCTAACAGTGTGCATTGATTTAGGTTCTTTTGCGGATGCTTCCTGAGTATCACCACCATGTGCGTACATATGACAATACACTTATTACCAAGTTTTTCGGCCTTCACAGGATCAAACCTTCTAGTGGTCAAAAGGTAACATAGTTGTACTGTTTTTACTCTTTTAAGTAACAACATAAACTACCATTGGGAGTTTTATAGTTTATCTTAAAGTTAAACCTTTTCCTAATTTAATCCCTTTGTTTTGAGATAGTAGTTACATTTTTCTATCTTGGTTGTTTCAAATTAATAGTTTAGGACTTTGGGTCATATGACGCAGAATATTTTAGTACTATTTCTAATCATTTGCCCCCACTTGCCTTGTTTTATTTCTCCCCCGGTCTCTCTTTATTTGATAACTTTCCACATAAAGGCATCCTTATTTACTTGACACATTTCTCTATCTTTCCTTAAAATGCATAGACCCCCCCCCCTTTTTTTTTTGTTAATAATTATTTCTCTCTTTTAAATTTGGATTTACTACCCACAAACTATAATAAGAAAATACCTCAGCACCAACTAAATATAATAAAATCTCCAACTACCCACAAAATATAATATTTTTTTAAAAGAAGGGAAAAAAAAAAAAAAACTCCACTACCCACCATTTATAATTAAAAAAAAATGTCCTACGACTTCTAGTTACTGTCACAGAATAAAATTAAAAGGCAATGAGTTTGCATGAAATTATGTGCGGGTGAAAGAGTGTCGAGTAAATAGGGACGGAGGGAGTGTTCTTTGATTACAATGTCTCTACTGTACATTATTTTATTCTTTTTGTACAATGTTCTACCTTTTACTCTTCTCTCTCTTATTATCTTAGTGATCACCTTGGTTTATTAGAGAAGAAAAGTGTAACCATTATGTCGAAACGGAGGAGGTAACTAAAAATGTAGTTGTAGTTTTCTAGTTAAGGTTCATATTCTTTTGGTGACCATTTGTCATCTTGAAAGCGTTCGTTTATGATTTGGATCGAGTCCCTAGAGCCTTAACTTTGTCATGATTTGGTTTCTTGCAGTTTAGATTTGTGGTGATGGGAAATATGTTCTGCACTGAATTAAGGATTCATCGAAGGTTTGACTTGAAGGGATCTTCTCTAGGGCGCTCAGCAGATAAAGTTGAAATTGATGAAAACACAATTCTTAAAGATTTGGATTTAAACTACAGCTTTTACTTAGAGCACTCTTGGAGGGAGGCACTATTAAAGTAAGTTACTATAAATTTTAATTGTTTGTGTCGTAATATGTGTATGTCATTGGACTTTGTATCCTTTTTTGCTTTGCTTACATTGACCTTCTCACTGGCCTTAGTAACTACAAAGTGGGGATCCTGTTAAATCATTAATTCCCGTGATTTGCTATATCACCGTGTCAAATGTCAATCATACTCTATTGAACCTTTCTTTTCCAAAAAATTTGTTAACGCAATTATATAGCCAAAGCAGCCCTTTGCTTTCCTCTCTCTCAATGTTGGATTAAGAAAGTATGACAGAGTGACAGACCTCTTGTTACACATGACCCTGTATGAGTTAAGTCTCATTGATTTCTTTAAAATTCCAAAGACACCAAGTCAATACTCTTGGAAGAGTCAAGTTGAGAAAAGAAAGTTGTTTATTATGTACTGGGGAGAGTGAGAATGGGTATCTTTCTATCAAAATGATGATTTAGCTATATAGAAGATATGTTACTGTCACATCCTGTAAACATATAAGCTATTGAATGTCTCTTTTATTATTTGCCTTGTGAGATGGATGGATTAACAAAGTTTTGATTTACCGATATGATTATGATAATTGGAACATTTTTATATCTTTGAAGTATTTCTGTGAGCTTTCAGGCCATCTGATCTTATCATCCATTTTGAAATTCTTTCTATCATGACTGAACAGGAATTTGTAATTATTGATTTATGTATGATCAGGTGGTTTTCATTTCTGATTAGTTCTGTATGGAAATTTGCAGCCAGATTGAGACTGATAGTAAATTCTTGGAGTCACAGCACATAATGGATTACAGTCTTTTGTTAGGAGTGCATTATCGTGCTCCTCAGCACCTCCGTTCAATCATGTCTCGTACTAGGAGCATGAATTCAGATGGTTTGGGCGTTGTAGCTGAAGAAGGTTTGTTTCTAAGCTACTACCAACTATTTTCCTTGATATGAAATGTTGCTTTTGAAATGTAGCTTTTTCAGAAGTGTACAGGTAAGGATTGAAAGAGCTTTCAAAAAGAGGTTTATTATTAAATTTCTGACTTGCAGAAACATATGCTAGTGCTGCCTAAACAAGTCCACATTGGATCAAATGGATCAATTTTTTTTCACTCTGATAATATTTATACCATCCAATTATATAGCAGTCGAGCTTAGTCCATTATTTTCTTACATATTATATATGACCATATATGTACTTGGAGAGGAGAAAATGTCAATATTTTACCCCTTCAAGTAAGATTTTTCTTGGATGAATTATATGCATGATGCCAGATTTCTTTCTCCACCCATGAAGGCCCTTTTAGTTGTTGGTAATGAACAGAGGTAGTGAGAATGGGTTTAAGTTGTAATTTAGCAAGGAAAGTGTCGTACTACTGCCCTTGGTAATGCAATCCCTTGGCGCTGGCATAAGATTTTCCTTACAAATTTACGAATTCATTCCCATTAGCAAACGTGCCTTGAACTTTGTTGTTAGCATCAATTTGGACAAACATGGTCTTATTCTCCACTCTTTCCTTCCATAGGTGTTATTTGCCTTACAGCATCATTGTTGTTGAATGACATTGGGCTTGTAAACTTTGCTCTTAAATCACTAGCAGAGCCATGTATGGTTACAGTGTTGAAGGAAACTGTAATCTAATAGGAACATAGAATTTTGAGTGAACTTGATCTATTACCAGTGGTACAAACGCTTGTTGAAGTGGAGATGACTGTTAAAGTCATCAATCTTTTCCTTCTAACGCTTGTCAAGTTAATGTTGTTTGTTGGTAACCCATGAACTTTCTAAAAAGTGCAATGTTCTATGTGCAATTTTTCTACATTTTGATATATTTTAAAATGGACACAATGGCAGATGCTTGGGATGATGGCATGTTTGCTTATCCGCAAAGCCTTGTACTGGTTCCACGAGGAGACGACAGCAGTGTCGTTGTGGGTTCTCATATAAGAGGCAGTAGATTGCGGGCAGCTTCTGCTGCAGGTCATGAAGAAGTGGATTTGCTCCTTCCGGGCACGGCTAGGTATGTAACTCTCTTTTCAAGGTTTTCCTCATCATGTCCACCAGACATCTGTATGTGCTTTATTGTTTTCATTTTTCCTTTGACAATTTTTGTTTTTTTTTTTTTTATTTTTTTAAATTGATTGGTTTCATTTGTGATGGGACATTCACCCTCTGCGGGCCACTGCTTGTGAATAAAAGGACAAATATGAGACTAAATGACCTTTAGGGTAACCATGAAACTAAGTCATTGTTGGGAAAATAAGGTTTCATTTGGTCATATAATGTGTTTATGTGAGCTTAGTCACTTTTTTTGAGTGTTGAGGCATGCTGCTTGTCTAGCTGTCAATACTACTGTCTTTGACTTCCAGTTAGTGGTTTTGTCTGTCTCTTTTAAAGGACATTCTGAATTGAAGTTAACAAATTCGATATAAAAAATATTATTAAATTATAAAAACGAAGTGTAGGTTGGAAAAAGCTGGATAAACTTGTTATCCTTTCATATTCTTTACCATTTTGCTATTCTCTTGACTGAGAGTTGAGGGTGTTATATTGTCATCTGTTGATGAATCGGAAAGCTAGGCTATTGGAAATTTAGAAGCAGAGCCAAGAGAAACTTCGCATGTGCATCTTCTCTAGTGGTGGTTGCCTATATATACTTTCTTGCATGATACTTTCTTCATCCGAGGATTTATATAAAAGGTAATATAAACCAATAGTGGCTGTCTCAATTTAAGTTTACACACTCACTGTAGCAAGGTTTATCTCTCTTCTCTCTAATATTAGGCCTTGCAGCCGCACCTGCCCACCTTTTTCTCTCTGAACCTCTGCATAATCTACATGCGACCCTGCCATATCTTTCTAAACTTGAATATAGGATGGAGTATGGATTTTTGTCATATTAGCTAAGGGTGACAATGACTATGGTTTTCTGCTAATTCCATCCGCACCTTATCATGAATACTTCTTGGTCTAAATTGATGGTTTCCATCTTTTGATTTTTCTTTTGTTAGGCTTCAAATCCAACTTGGAGTGAACATGCCAGCAAGAGCGGAGCGTACTCTAGGGGAGTCTGAAGCACCACATCATGAGGCTTATGATGTCGTCTTATACTTAGGTATAATTGATATACTGCAGGATTATAACATGAGCAAGAAGATCGAGCATGCGTATAAATCTCTTCAATTCGATTCATTGTCCATATCAGCAGTCGACCCAACTTTTTACTCTCAACGTTTCTTAGGTTTTATTCAAAAAGTTTTCCCACCTTTACCTGAGACTTGAACAGGTTCTGACTACTTCTATTTAATTTTCAAAAGAATAAAAAAAAATTACCTCTGTAAATCTAGTGAATGTCATTTCTTGTTTTATAGTGCGTTTATTTTCTTCAAAAGCAACCAAAAAAAAAATGTGTTCGTGAACATGATGGGGTTTATAATCTGCATCATCATTTTTGTGCTTGGTCTGTATTAAACTATTATGTAAAGTAAATAGATTCATTATTTTTGTGTATGATTTTTGTTAGGGGTGAGCAAAAAAATCAGGGCACTTGAATTGAAACCGGAACTTGTTAGGAACTAGCAATTACGAGTAGCAAAATAGAGAACTTATTGCAACGTGTTTCAGTTCAAGTCCTCAATTTTTCAGAGCCAAAACCCCATTAATACCAGTGTTAATATCAGGTACCTAGATGCTAGAACCACAACCGGATAAAACTGCTGTGTTAGCACTTAGCAGCCTACATCATAAATCAATCCAAGCCAAGTTTTAAAAAGAAAAAGCGAACAGAATGACAACTTTAGCCTATCATAATTCATAACCGTATTTATGTCCAAATCATGCAAGACATCTTTTTCCTAAATGAATTGGAAAAAAATTTGATCCAGTTTATGAAATGATGGGCACTCGCACTCGGTTGTTCAAGTTTCGGTTCTGGTTCTAATTTCGAGGAACTTCTTGTAGTAGGCTTTGACCTGAGAAATTTTAATAGGTCCTTGTTTTGCTCACCCCCTCCCCTAATTTTTGTATAGTTATTAGTTAGGGGTGCAAAAGAGTTGATTTGTTCACAGTGGCTGAATCAGAATTTTTTATAGGGGGGCAAGCGAAATATATGTAGTAATATTTCCGTATAAAAATAGTATGAAGTATGTTGAAATTTAAAAAAAAAAAAAATGAGATCAAAAAAAAATGTTTGAGAGAAGGTTCGAACTTAGGGCCTGTTCTTATTGACTGAATTCAGATGAACTGAACTTATTAGAGCTGAGCTGAACTGAACTGAAATGAATATTTTATTAGAGAAGGACATTAGGAACTAAACGGAACTGAAAATAATTGTACGAGAACAGACCCTTAAAGCTAGAAAAAAATCTTTATATTTTCACCCAAAATTAACTCATCTATGTTACAACTAACATGAATTAAAGCAACATATATCAAATTACTAAAACTTAGAGGGAGGCCCACCCCAGCCCCCTTGGTTCCGCCCTTGTTTGTTCATATAACGCGAACAATTTCAGTACAAAACATAAAAAAATAGTTTACAATCGCGAACAAAATGAAAACTTGGTGGTTGTAAATAGGCAATCTCCGGCAAATGTAGAAAAGAGAGGCATGAATTTCCATCCTCCTAAGGACATGTCCGATTTACTAAGCTGAACTAAACTGAATATTTTATGAGAGAAGGAAATTTGAAACCGAACTGATTGGAACTAGTGAGATCTACCTTTGGGCATGGTGGCCTGGTAGGTCACGTGACCCAGCAAAAAAGCAAAAAGTTTATAAATATTAATATTGCAGTTAATAATTATATATGCTCACTAGACTAGCGGTTGAGGCATAACTTTTCTAAGGAAAGAACATAAGTTCGATTCTCACAAGCAGCATTTACAGGCTAATGTAATTCCATAACTTCCAAAGTGTGGCTATAAAGTAAATCATCCTACTAATGTGAATACCATCCGTGTTATTGAAGAGTTTTTTTTCAAAAAAATAACATTGTCGCTCATTTGTCGACTTTGAACGAAAGCATGATTTTTTCGAAATAAGCTTGGATAGGACTTGTTTAAAACAACTAACGATGCACACTTACTATACAAGTTGGATCGCCCCGTGCTACTGTTAGAAATGGTAATGCAAACGGAAGATTCTCGTGCCCGATCAAGCGGTGGTTCGCCCGACTGGGCAAAATTGGCTAAGGAAAAAAGGAGGGCTCTCGCGCCCGACCGGGCGGTGGTTCGCCTGACTGGGCGACGGAGTTGAGTTTTGACGAGCCCGATCGGGCGGCTCTTGCCCGATTTCTCGCCCGGGGTGGGATTTCCAGATCGCCCGACCGGGCGGGTGTGGCCTGACCGGGTGCGACACCAGGTTTGGGAAATTTCATCTCGTGCCCGATCGAGCGGCTGGTTGCCCGATTGGGCCCGCCTTTTTTCTTAGGTCGGTTTGATTTATTTGTCTTCTAATTTTGGGACACATATAAATAAGAGCATTTTCCTTTTCTATCTTCATTCATTCACTTTCAAAACCTCAAACACAAACCTACCCTTTGAGATCTGAACAATTCTTGAGCAATTTCACTCTTCGGGTTCGGGTGCATGGAATACGGAGAGAGGTGCGTTAAACTTGGGGGGCGTGCGTCACTAGGAAACTTGTACCGGTGGTGGCGTATGTTGCTTCTAAGGCAGTGGATTATTGTTCCACGGCGCGACTTGAGTTTGAGATCTTCAATCCAGGAAAGTTCTAATCTTTTGTTTGTTATTGATTTCAACAGTTATTTTACCAACAATTTAGAAGCGAAAATATTTTTATTTGTTCTGTTGATATCATGACTAGCAATTCTCAAACTCGTTTATTCCTAGATCTGTCTAAGGTTGAGTCTCTTGATGGAATTAATTATAAGAGATGGTCACAAAGGATGTTGATTGCTTTTGAACAAGTAGAGGTTGATTATGTTTTGTTTTAGGATGCCCCAAAACCTATTGAACAAACCAATGCTATGATTGAAATTCCTAGTACTCCTGTTCCTAGGAATAAAGAATTTGATCCTAGCCAGAGGACCACTACTGTTATTGTTAATGAATGTGAAATCAGGAAATTTGATCATGATAATAAGTTTGTTAGAGGTCATCTTTTGAACATCATGAAAAACAACATCTTTGATTTGTATGTAAATATGAAATCTGCTAAGGAGTTGTGGGAGTCTTTAGAAAAGAAATATGGTGTTGATGATGCCGGGAAAAAGAAGTAGGTAACTGGAAATTGGTTGAACCTTAAATTGGTTGACTCTAAGCCTATCATGGACCAAGTCCATGTGTATGAAAATTATGTTGCTGAGATTCTTGCTCAAGGTATGAAGATGTGTGAAATCCTTCAAGCCAATGTTTTAATTGAGAAATTACCAAATTCCTGGTCTGATTATCGAAATCACCTCAAGCATAAATAGAGGGATTTAACCCAAGAAGAACTTGTGAGCCACATGAAGATTGAGGAAGCCAATAGGCTTAAGTATGTTTCCTCTAAGCCAAAGAACGTGTTAGCAGTCAAAGCTAACCTTGTTGAATCTAATACTAACTCTGACAGGAAATCAGGTGACAATCGTGCCAAGAAGGGGAAGTCTGAGAAGAAGGGAAGTCTCCAAGCTAAGGGCAAGATTGAGAAGAAGAACATTGTCAAGTGTTGGCCATGTGGGGCACTTTGTTGCACAATGCAAGAACAAAGAAGAAGAAAAATCTGAAGTCAAGTGGAGGGAACAAAGGTCAGGCTCATCTGGTTGAGAATGAGGATGAAGATGTCATCGCTGCAGTTGTCTCTGAAGTCAACTTGGTTGAGAACAACACTGAATGGATTGTGGACACTGGTGCATCTAGACACTTCTGTGCTAACAAGGAACTGTTTGTCAGTATGGAAGAGGCAAAGGAAGGTGAACAAGTCTACATGGGAAATTCAAGCAGCTCTGAGGTACTTGGGAGGGGCAAGGTGGTTCTGAAGCTGACTTCAGGGAAGACATTGGCTCTTTACAATGTATTGTATGTTCCTTCTCTTCGTAGAAATTTGATTTATGGTGCTTTGTTGAGCAAAGTAGGAGTTAAGTTAGTTTTGATGCTAATAAACTTGTGTTAACCCGTAATGGGGAGTATGTTGGAAAAGGTTACCTTAGTAGGGGCCTATTTGTCCTTGAGATTGTAACTGTTTCTTCAATGAATAAGATTTCTACTTCTCCTTATATTGTTGAGTCCTTTGAATTATGGCATAGTAGATTGGGTCATGTTGGTGCAACGAAATTGAAGCAAATGAAGAGTTTAAATTTGCTCCCAAACATGTCATTAGATGGACTTGAAAAATGTGAAGTGTGTGCGGAGTCTAAATTTGTGAAGAAACCTTACAAAACTGTCACAAAGAGAGAGACCACACCACTTGAGCTAATTCATTCAGATTTAGCAGACTTTAAGAACTTGGAAAGTAGAGGCGGGAAACACTACTACATCACTTTCGTTGATGATTATTCGAGATATATCAGAGTGTATCTTTTGAGAACAAAAGATGAAGCTGAGTCCAATTTTCTTGTGTATAAGACATAAATAGAAAATCAGTTGGAGCGGAAAATAAAGAGAGTTTGCTCAGATAGGGGTGGAGAGTATGGCTCCGATTTCCTCAAAGATCTATGTAAAAGTGAGGGAATCATTCATGAAGTATCTGCCCTGTATACTCCATAGAAAATGGTGTCGCAGAAAGGAAAAATAAGACCTTGAAGGAGATGATGAATGCAATGCTCTTGAGTTCCGAGTTGCCAGATAATCTGTTGGGGGAAGCGGTTCTATCAGAAAATTATGTACAGAACAGAGTGACTCACAAGAAGTTAGACAAGACGCCATATGAGATATGGAAGGGTTATGCTCCAAACTTGAATCACATGAAAGTGTGGGGGTGTCTAGCTAAGGTGGGTTATCCATCGTTCAAGCGCTCAACGATAGGTTCTAGGACCTATGATACAGTGTTCATTGTTTATGCTGAGAATAGTGCCGCATACAAGTTTATGAGCCTGGAAGATCGCTCTATAAGTGAATCCCATGATACAGAGTTCTTTGAACAGGTATTTTTGTTGAAGAAAAATTTAGTTACTAACGATGTTTCTTCAGTTTCTTCATCTACAAAGCCAGAAGATTCTTCCCCTAGGATTGAAAGTGAAATTCAACCTAGGAGAATTAAAAGGCAGAGAGTGGAGACAAACTTTGGGCCGGATTTCCTAACAGCCTTTATATCAAAGTGTGGAAATCTTGGTGAATTCGAGTATGGGCTAGATGAGATCATGTTATGTCTACAGGTTGTGGATGAAGATCCAAAAACGTTCGAAGAAGCTATGAGCTCAGTAGATGCAACCTTCTGGAAGGAAGTTTTGAACAGTGAGCTTGATTCAATCATGTCTAACGGGACATGGGAGCTCGTGGACTTGCCAAAAGGAAGTAGCGTTATTGGGTGCAAGTGGATTTTCAAGAGACAAATGAGAACCGATGGCACCG